GTTAAGATAAAAGGGAGATTTTTAGCTTTGAGATACCTTCTCAGATAGGGTATATTTCATGTGTATTAGGGTATATAAAGTTACAGATAAATATATAACATATTCTTTATATATGTGTTATCCTTAAAGATTTGGAATTTAAAAATTTTAATCTTTTCATTCTTAAAGTATTTTCTCACACACATATATATATATACCAGGAAAGAGGTGAGGTTTAAAAGAAATACTGCATTTATAGTGGGTTGTTTGGGACTATTGCTACTGCTATTAATTTCCACCCTGGAGTATGCATTCACTCTCTTGTACTATTAGGAGGACTGAAGTAGGTTAATTTATAAGCATTAGCCAGAACATTTGAAAAGAAAAGCTAGAAGAGAGAGAATTGTATAGGATTTATCCAGCACTGTTCAGGGGAGAGAGGCATAGAGTCTGGGAGACATTATAATAACTAAAGATGTATCCTCTCTTGTGGATCAGGAATGAGTTACCTTGGCCAGTATTAAGTATTCTTTAGAACTATCCTCCTCCTGCTCTGGTTCACCAAGTAACTCTACTTCTCAGTATTCCTGAAACACAAGTATATTGGCTTCTTAAAAAAAAAAAGATACAGCATCTTTATTGAGATATCATTTACATACCATAAAATTTACTCATGCATGTTAATTTTAAGGTAAACATTGTTCACTGTAAATTACTCAACTTCAGTCTTCGTAAATTTAGGTAAAAGGATGAGCATTGTTTAGTTTGGTTAACTCTAGATTACTAATATGGCTTAAGATCCTGGACAGTGATACATTTATTTAGGTAGCATTCACAAAATGTGTTCCTCAGATCCTTAGTTCCTTGGGTTATTTATTAATAAGTGTTATACCACCAAGGGATTTGTGGTCAAAGAAGTTTGGGAAACATTGTTTGAAACAAAGGTAAACTGTTTCTTCTTGATTGCCCTTTCTATGCTAATGTGTAATAAGCTAAACAAAAAAAAGTATATACAGTAAAGCATTTCTCCAACATACTTTTACATAGAACCCTTACTTTCACAGAGCATAGGTTATGAGACTTGTGATCCAAGAAATAGATTATGTACACCAAAAAGACTTCATACATTTAATTTCTTTTTTTTCCTTTGGCAGCTGGCTGGTACAGGGATCAAATCCTGGACCTCGGTGTTACTAGCACCACCCTCTAACAAGCTGAACTAACCAGCCAGCCTGATACACTTAATTTCATCTTCTCACTCAAGTCCTTTGGATGGCTATGTGACCTTCTTCAGGTGACTCCTGAATGTGTCTCTTTCTAGCCACCACAGGTTTCTTTTACCATGGTTGTGTGGAGTTTTCCATTGGAAATTGATAGTGGAAAACCTTTATCAAATTTAAATGCTACAGGAAAAATACTACTTTGAGAGTTAAGAGAATGAAGTCTGAAATTCCCTCCCCCCCCCCATATAAAGATGACCAGTAAGGGGATCTTAACCCTTGACTTGGTGTCGTCAGCACCATGCTCACCCAGTGAGCAACCGGCCATCCCTGTATGGGATCCGAACTCATGGCCTTGGTGTTATCAGCACCACACTCTCCCGAGTGAGCCAAGGGCAGGCCCAAAATACTATTTTGAGAGTTAAGAGAATGAAATCTGAAATTCCATAGAAAGAACAAGTAATGGATTTTGATGGCAGTTGCGTAGCCCTTTGTTTATTCATACAGTATTCTTGTAATTTGATGATCAGGAGCCTTTATGCATATGCCTGACTGCTGAAAAATGTTCCTCTTCTATATAGTAACAACTGCAGGTATGAGTGAGCATACTTCTTGGGCAAGAGAACTCACTCCTACAGTCCCTTAATCACATTGATCCTATTTTGTGAATATTTCCAAGGTGGAAGGGAATCTGGGAAACCTGTTCATGGATAGGTAATCTTCATTTTCCTTATTTCAAAGCAAATTTGAATGCCTTTACTTTTTCCTTAGTTTATTCTATTTCTCTTTGTGTTCTTGACCTTCAAGAACTTGACTCATTCAGACTAATTACAAACTTAGTAATTTTTACTATTTTTTTTTTTTTTTGTCTTTTGTCTTTTTCCGTGTCCGGCAACGGATCGCAACCCTCAGTGTTGCCCCCATACCGGACCGGGGACCGGCAACGGGATTGCAACCCTCGGCGTTGCCCCCGCGCCTCGCTCAGCCAGTGAGCGGGAACCGGTCTGTATGTGGGATCCGAACCCTTGGGCGGGAGCGCCTCCGCACTTCCCAAGTGGTGCACCGGGCCGGCCCAACTTTTACTATTAATAATAGTAAATAATAAAGGTTTTTCCTGAGTGTTGTGATTATGGATGATTTTAATCTTCTTTGGGCTTTTTGGTATTCTATGTGGAAAGGATGTATGGTAGTGAAACGAATCTTAAATTGTTGGCTCTAACTAGAACTGAATCTGTGTTTACCCAGAAAGGTAATAGAAAGATTGGCTTATTTATTAAATATATGTGTTTGAATGATAACAATGGGAAGATTGGTAGAAAAAACTTTTCTTGAAAAAAAAACAATGTTTCGAACTTTCGTCCTAAATTACTCATGTTATATGATATTTGGGGAACATAATTGAGCAGGATTTCTTTACACTAAAACATGTTTTATCTGATGGAAATTCTCACTAACATCTCTTCCTCTCAGATCCTTTCAACAAATGAAACAAGAACACTCCCTTTGCTAGATAGAACTGGAGGCCAATATCTGCATGAACTGGCTCTTCTTCAGTCAGTCACATAGCTAGCTCAGTAAGTTCCATTCATGTTAAAATAACACCTTATAAGTCATGTGGAAAGAAACTGCAGACTGAACAAACATGCTGAGTAGTTTTACTAATGAAGATCAACATGGAAAAGTTAGCAAGTCTTTGTTTTTCCCGTCCTTATCCTTTATCAATAAATAAACATGAGTTTTTGATACTCTTTCAGTAACTATGGAGTCCTCATTTGGACCATACTCTGGTCTCATGTAAAGGTGCAAAATTCAGTTCAGGATTAGAAGATTAGCATGTGGAGTAATGATAGTCTCACTAGAGATGAAAGGCCAGGTAGTAGTAGCTCTGAGGGTTCTTTCTGTCACCCCACCCAATTTCTCTGTAGCCCTTTCCTTTCGCATCATAAACAACCTTTATAGTAAATTATAGTGTTTGGACTTAAAGTAAGAAGAAATCATGATGGACCACTAGAGAATTTCAGCAATCTATTTTAAAATTGATGTATCTTTTAAAATAAAATTTGGTTATGTTTATAATTGCAGATTTAGTTTGAGAACTGAAATTGAACATCTTTAAAAACAAATTTTTTTATTTTAAATTTAATTGTACATATTTGTGGGTTACAGTGTGTTGTCTCAGTACATGCACATACTGTGCATTGATTTACTTAAGGTAGATAGCATAGCTTTGTTCCTGTTTGTCCACCACTACTCCCTCCCTCCTCCCTTCCCTCCCAACCTCTGATAACTATCATTCCACTCTCTACTTCTGTGAGAATCACTTTTTTTTTTTTAAAGACTTCACATATGAGTGAGATCATGCCATATTTGTCTTTCTCTGCTTGGCTTACTTCACTTAACGATGATGGTCTCCAGTTCCATCCATGTTGCAGCAAATGACAGGATTTCTTTTTTTCTATAGCTGAGTAGTATTCCATTGTGTATATATACCAGATTTTTAATCCATTCATCCACTGATGGGTATTTACGTTGATTCCATCTCTTGGCTATTGTGAATAGTGTTTCAATGAACATGGGAGTGCAGGTGTCTCTTCGGTATATCGATGTCATTTCCTTTGGGTATATACCCAGTAGTGGGATTGCTGGGTTATAAGGTAGTACAATTTATAATTCTGTGAAGAATCTCCATGCTGTTTTCCACAATGGCTGTACCAATGTACAATCCCACTAGCAGTGTGGAAGAATTCCCCTTTCTCCACATTCTCATCAGCATTTGTTTTCTGTCTTTTTGATAATACCCATTTTAACTGGAGTAAGACTATATCTCATTGTGGCTTAATTTGCATTTCCCTGATGATTAGTGATGTTGAGCATTTTTTTCATGTGCCTGTTGGCCATATGTATTTCTTCTTTTAAGAAATTTTTGTTCAGGTCCTTTGCCCATTCAAAAACAAAATTTTTAATGCAAAGGTAGAAAATTTAGGAAAGACAAAATGAAGAAAATAAATTACCTGTGATTTCATCAGTCTCTTTATTTTTACTTTCTTTTTTTTTTTTTTGGTGGCTGGCCTGACAAGTTGATCCAAACCTTTGATCTTGGTATTATAATACCATGCTATAACCAGCTGAACCAACTGGCCAGCCCACCAGTCTTTTTAGATATGCATCTGTGTATATGCCACACACATCTGTTTTATTTATATATTTATGTATTTTTAATATAAGATCATATTGTTTTTAAACTTACTTTTGCTATTTATAGTTTTGCAAACACTTTTCCATGTCATTATATATTCTTGTATAACAATATGTTAAATTGCTGCGTATTATTCCATTATAGCAATATTTTAAAAAACAAATCCCATATTATTGAATGAGGTTTATAGTGTAGAAGTTAAGTTTAAGCTTTAGATCAGATAGCTGTGAAATTGAATTCCACTCTACCACTAACTTGTTATATGACCTTGGAAAGTTACTTAATCTCTCTGAATTTCAGTTTCTTCATGTGTAAGATGGAATAATAGTGCTTAGCTGATAAGACTGGGTCAAAGGGTCTGCGGAATCCAAGGCTTCTAACATAATCACTCTCAGACAGGTGACATCATTGGCAAAAGTGATTGTCTCCCTGCACTCTCACCAACACAGGTGTTATCTGGCTTGACAGTGCACTACCTCATTTGTTTTACTATTTTTTTAAATAAACCATACTGCCTCTAGTACTACAATTATAAATTTAATTGTGTTTTGTTTTATTTTATTGGCAGCTGGCCAGTACAGGGATGCGAACCCTTGACCTTGGTGTAACACTGCACTCTAATCAACTGAGCTAACTGACCAGCCCTTATTGTGTTTAAATTAAGAATATGCAGGGTATGTTTTCATATTCAAAATCTAGGGGGAAAAAACCTCACTTTGAAAAATTCTATTTTAAAAATATTTATCCATTATAACTTTGTAATATACAAAAGCTTAATTCTGCTAATTTTTAAAGATACTAGATTAAATTTTGCTGCCTCAATATCTTCTCTCATAGTGTATTATAATGAATTGCTGCTCTGAAAATCTTACTGTATAACTTTAAGAAGACTGTAAATAACCTGTGTAGGAATAACTTACTTAGTAACCAAAACTGTTCTACTTGGTTGTTTTCTCCATTCCACAGGTCAAGTGATTGCACATAAAGAAGTTATGTCATAGGAGGGAAAATAACACCCAATGGTGAGTCCGACATACAAGACAGTTTGGAGGAAGCATGACTCAGAAGTCAAGTCGTCTACTGCCGAAGAGGTTCAGACACACTAGATAAAGCTTTCACAAAAGCAATATAAAAACTAAAATGAAGTTTTCAAAATTAACTTCTGTTTTATTTCAAAATCTTTTTGTAAAACAGTATTCTTACTGTGAAAACAACACGGTAATAACATGGAAAAACAGCACTTTGTCAACTGAAATTATATTTGGCAGAGTGAAGAAAGTTATTACTAAGTTATCCATTTAAGATTAGAAGACAAGAGCTGAGCTAACTAACCAAACTGAAATATTATCTCATTTTCCGTGTTATTATTTTCAGTAGATAAATTCCCTTTATTAGAGGAAGTCCAGACTGACAAGAAGGTGAAAATACTTGAATATTATCCATAAGCTCAATCTGAACTTTTTTATCAAAGGAAAATATAGTTCATTTTTAGAAGCCTTTTCAATCTTTAATTAGCTTCTCCTTAAAATAAGCTTTCCCTTAGTTTACTGGAGGTGGGAAGGGCTGCTCTAGAGACTGACTAGCCCCACCTCACCGTCCCACCCCCATGCACTCTCACCCCCACCCCCACCCCAGCCAAGGAGAAAGCAGGGGCCTTGTGTCTCAGGATTAGGGGAAATAGTTAAGAAGGAGAGGAAAAGAAAATTGCCTTTCCAGCTTCTCCAATTTCCCGTGTAGCCTACAGAGAGAAGCAAGCATCCCTTGGGAGGAAATAACGAAAGTGCCAACGGTAGATAGATGAATGAAGTTTGCATCCCTGCAGGGTACTTGGAGCTCTTGCTTTTATAATGTCACATAGGCTCCTGTCCCTAACTCATGGTAGTTATTAGAAGGCAAAATAGACATTTTCTATAAACTGGCCCTACCCTCCAGGGGGCCTCTACCCTTGAAGCTATTCCTTGGTTTAGTTCCTTTTCCTGCCAGAAATATCAAAGTCAGGGAAAGGGGTTCTGGTGAAGCTATAAAAGTCCAGTTGCTGTGTTTCCTTTTTCTAAGGCACATTTGAGGTAGCCAGTTAGATCCTAAGAGGTGTTCATAGGAGACTTCAAGAGACAGCTAATTGAAAGGAATGTCAGGTATTAAGAGATAAACAAGCTTCATACAAATCACCACTGTATTATCTCTAAGGTGTCTTCACCTCAGCCAAAAAATAAAGGCTTCAGAAAAAAAAAAAGCATTCAAAATTTCTTTCTATTACCTTTTCATTTAGCATAGATTGGATTTCTTTTTTTTTTTTTTTTAAAGATGACGAGTAAGGGGATCTTAACCCTTGACTTGGTGTTGTCAGTGCCACCCTCTCCAAAGGGAGCCACCCTCTCCAAAGGGAGCCACGGGCCAGCCCCTATAGATTGGATTCTAATACAGATTTGGCTAACCACACACTCCAATTTGTCAGACTTTTAATTCCTAAGATACTTCATGACTTCACTGTGCACTGCCATCCCCCTCCCTCATCAATACCTTCAACAAGGATAGGTGATATTGATGACATATCTCTTATTTATCTTCTCAGAATTAGGGTATGAACTGATGAAAAGAATTTTTAAAAAGTATTATCAGACTGATTGAAATTCCATACTAAGCTGAAGTATTCACATTATATAGTACAGCCTCAGAAATTGTTATGCAAATAGAAGAGGCATTTCCAAATAAAGACTGGGGAGGAAATTTCTCCAACCACAGTAAAGAGAAATCCCTGGGATTTGACTACCACATAGGTCAGACCCTTTGTCTAGTCTTCCAATAGTCTGACTTCATCCCTATATCATCAGTCCTGATAAAAGCATCCACCACACAAATATGGTCAGACATTTCTTTAACCTTTGTTCATTGGAACAGCTACAGAAATCTAATTGAAACCATATAAAACTAGTTCAAAACTGATTAAACTAACTGAAAATCGTTCTATTTTTCTATTTTATTTTATTTTACAAGTTCTCTCAGAGAAAGTAAGCTGAACATGTACAGAGACATGGTTCCTGCCCTCCAGATGATCTCAGACACCACAGGAACCTGAAAATCCTCCACCTGTGGAACCAAAGGATTGGATTCAGGCCCAACCAATCAATCCTTGTCTGCATCATATGGCCTGACTCAGGTCTAACCAATCAGCTCTTGACTCAGCCAATCAGCCCTTGCCTGAGTCATATGGTGTGATTCTGCTCTAGCCAATTACGCTGTGCCTAGTCATATGGTTGAACAGGAGCCAGCCAATACCCAGTCTCCAGTCCTTACTGATCCTTTAAAAACCGGTTCTCCTCTGGTTCAAGGAGACAGATTCAAGCATTGCCTACTATCTCCTTGCCAGTTGACCTTGCAATAAAGTCTCTTCTCTCAAAAACTGGTGCCATGGTATTGGCTTCTGTGTGCATTGTGCATCAAGCCCTTGCTTGGTAAAATAATATCTGCAAAGATTTCCCTGAATTGCTAGAAAAGATACATTCCTGATACTGCTCAAACTAGTCCCATACTTCCCATGGTTCTTTTCTTCACCAACTTACTCCTCTGCTTGTATGTAATTATTGAGATATGTGGCATATGAAGGGGCACAGGATTTTGAGTCCAAAGATGCACTTGTGCTGCTCACTAGGACTTCAGGCAAGTCATTCAGCCTCCCTGAGCCTATTACCAGGGTTCTTATGAGATTCAAATACATCTAATGTGTATGCAATTGCTTTAATATATAAAATGCTATATACAGTAGATACTATACATCATCTACTCTTTCCCATCATCACTACCCACACATAAGCATCTGCATTTGTACCCATTTTTCCCTATCAGAACCATGTCTTAGAAGCATAGTTTCTTAATTTCCTCTAAGAGAAGTTCTCTCTCTGAGCAAGACTTATCATATCCATTCCAGATTCTTTATGAATCTTTTCTGTCATCTTTCTCTTGTGGCTTTAGTCTTGCCTCCACTGATTTTGTCCTTTCAGCATAGAGACACTTAACTCTCCTTTGTTAATTTCACATTCAAAGTTTTTAAAACTCCAGTCTTTCAAATGCCATTCTGTTTTCAAAACACTTTATTCTGCTGAAAATTTTTTTTTAGTTGAAACATGTCTGTGGGGGACAGAGTTGAATGTCAGTACCTGTGTGCAATATGTGATGCTCAAATGAGGATAATGTCTATACTCAACATTATACAATGTAATTGTTTTTTATGGCACTTTACCATTTCCTCCCTTACCCCAACCCACTCCACCCCCCGCCTTCCCACTCACTTTCCCACCTCTGGTAACCTCAGTTCTGTTCTCTCCTTTTGAAAGTTTGACATATTGTGATTGTTGTATCTTTCCTTTTTTTATTTAATGTTTTTTATTTTTTTTTTTAAATCTTCCGCTTATGAGTGAGGACATGTGGTATTTCTCTTTCTGTCCCTGGCTTATCTCACTTAACATAATTTTCTCTAAGTTCATCCATGTTGCTTCAAATGATGGTGTTTCATTCTTTTTTATGACTGAGTAGTATTCCACTGTGTAAATATACCACATTTTCCTTATCCAGTCATCTGTTGGTGAACATTTAAGTTGGCTCCATATCTTGGCTCTTGTAAATAGAGCTGCAATAAACATGGGAGTGCAGGTATCCCTTCAACATGACGATTTCCTTTCCTTTGGGTATATACCTAGCACTGGAATTGCTGGAACATACAGCAGTCCTATCCATAGTTGTTTGAGGAATCTACATGCTGTTTTCTGTAATGGCTGCACCAATTTATATTCCCACCAAAAGTATAGGAGGGTTCTCCTTTCTCCACATTCTTGCCATCATTTGCTATTCTCTGTTGTTTTGATCATAATCAGTCTTACTGGCATGACATATCTCAACATGGTTTTGGTTTGCATTTCCTTGATGCTGAGTGATATTGAACATTTTTTCATGTGTCTATTGGCCATTTGTATATCTTCCTTTGAGAAATGCCTATTCAGCTCCTTTGCCCACTTTTAAATTGGGTTATTTGTTTTTTTACTGTTAAGTTGTTTGAGTTCCTTGTATATTCTGGATATTAAACCCTTGTCAGGTGCAAGAGTTTACAAATATTTTCTCCCACACTGTAGGTTGTCTTTTCACTCTTAATTGTTTCTTTTACTGTGCAGAAGCTTTTTAGTTTGATATAATCCCATTTGTTTTCCTTTGTTGCATGTGCTTTTAAGGTATTATTATTAATGTCCTTACCCAGTTCTACATCCTGAAGTGTTTCCCCTATGTTTTCTTTTAGGAGTTTTATAGTTTTGGGTCTTATATTTAAGTTTTTAATCGATTTTGAGTTGATTTTGGTATATGGCAAGAGGTATGGGTCTAATTTCATTCTTCTACACATGGATGTCCAGTTTTCCCAGCACCATTTATTTGAAGAGGCAGTCTTTTCCCTAATGTATGTTCTTGGTGCTTTTGTCAAAGATCAGTTGGCTTTAAGTACGTGAGTTGATTTCTGGGTTCTCTATTCTGTTCCATTGGTCTGAGTATCTATTTTTATGCCAGCACCATGCTGTTTGGGTTACTATAGCTTTTTGGTATAATTAGAAGTCAGGTAGTGTTATGCCTCTGGCTTTATTTCTTTTTTGCTCAGGATTACTTTGGCTATTTGGTTTTTTTTTTAATTGTTCCGTATGAATG